GGAGTGCCTGGCTCGGGCGCAGATTTCCTATCCAAATGTGATACAGCTGTTTCTGCTTCCTCTCCAAAGACTGAACAGAGTTTTAAAAAATCAATTTATCATGTATTTTCTTTGACCAAGGCTCCTTGCTGCTGTGACCCACTCCTGAACCGCCCAACCGCACGGTATCAAGGCTGGAGCAGGCAGAGAGCGTGACTTGTACAAGCACAGCACTCGGAGGGGAGGATCCTGACAGCAAGTCCAGGGGCTAAACGCCATCTCAGTGGGAGTGCCTGTTGCAGGGCGGGCAGAGAAATAGGACAGCCTGAAGGAGCTTTTTGCACTGGGAATCAATGCTCAAGGGCTTATTCCCAGAGCCTGCCGGAGGGACCCCCAGCTTTTGCCGCCCGCCTCCAGGGAGGCAGCTGCAGGATCGGGTTTAGCTTTTTTGCAGTTTTCCTGAGGCTGCACAGACCTTGCACAGTTCCTACACCCCTCCATGCACCCAGGGCGGGGAGAGCCACCCCCAGCCACCACCCCTACCCTGCAAATCGGTGGCAGGGACCAAAACAAACCGGGCAGCATGCTGAGAACGGCAACACACTGCGTCCTGCCGCAGCTGCAGCCACTACCCACAGAAAGGGCTTTCCGCTGATGGGCTGGATCACCCCAGCCTCTCCCCAAGCAGCACTTGCCTTTCTATATCTCTTGCTTGTTCCCTGCTTGTCCCTTCTAGCCTGGCCCTTTGCACCTGGAATTAGCTGCTCCTGAAAAGTTTTGGTGCCGGGACCTGTTGGGAAAGACCAGGAGCCCAATTCACGAGTCCCTTTCCCAGCTGGACACACTTACGCAAGCCCAGAGGATGACAAGGCTTGTGTTTGCCATTATTTTTAATGCTGAGGGTAAACAGCATCTCACTGGCATGCTCAAGGCTGCTGAGATTATATCACTAGTTTGCTTTGAAGCCCGGTTTGCAGAGGAAAGCCAAGTCCCCAGTGCCCCAGGGGCGGGCCGGGTGCCAGCGGAGGAGCAGAGCAGGACCGTGTCTCGCTGGCTGGGAGCCGTGGGTGCTGGCACCCCCGGGAGGCTGCTGGCGAGGGCAGCGGTGGGAGCGGGAGAGCAGGGGGCCCTGTGAGACCTGGCTGGCTGGGAGGCATGGGGGTGGCCGCACAGCAATAGTCGGGGTTTGCCTTTGACACAGACGCCTGCGTTTGTTGTGCTAACTGGGTGGGAGGCAAGGCAGCGCCGGCTGGCCGAGTTTGTCCCACTGAATTGTGCCTAGCGGGTGCAGAGCCTTTTGGCATCAAGCACACGGGAAGTTTTCAGATGCTTATCAGATCAGGCTGCTTTTGACACTGAAGATTTTGACATTAGACATGTACCTCTGACCCCTGAGGGTTTTGGCCAAGTCCCAGTATGGCCGGCGTGACAGTAAGATGCAGAGCAGTCTCTAAGGAAACGCATGTATAAACTGTAGACAAAAATATCCCAGCGTGTTGTGAAGTATCTCTGAATATGTAAATGGGGTGGTTCAGGTTAGGGAAA